CTTTCTTACTTCATCCTTCTTTCTCTTTTTGTTTTACAAAATGCAGCATTGTTTATTCGAAAAAAACATACGCGCGAACCATAACACAATTTCTTTCTCTTTCCCTCTCGTTTTCTCTCATCTCCCATCTATCACTCTCCTTCTCTCTATGTGTCTCCCTCAGTATCTCTGTCTTCCTCTGTCTGTCTGTCTGTCTGTCTCCCTCTCGTGCAGTACCATCTGTTGAGTCTAGAAACATGTTTTGTGGTGATCTAGATTTGGTTTTCTATGGTTAATGATGTTTATTAGCGTTGTTAGCGGCTATTAGGATAGTTCTTGATTTCTTTCTTTCTTTCTGACTGACTGACTTACTTTTCTCTTTCTTTCTTTCTTTCTGTCTTTCTGTCTTTCTGTCTTTCTGTCTTTCTGTCTGTCTTTCTTTCTTTCTTTCTTTCTTTCTTTCTTCTTTCTTTCTTTCTTTCTTTTTTTTTCTTTCTTTCTTTTTTTTTCTTTCTTTCTTCTTTCTTTCTTTCTTTCTTTCTTTCTTTCTTTCTTTCTTTCTTTCTTTCTTTCTTTCTTTCTTTTCTTTCTTCTTTCTTTCTTTCTTTCTCTTTCTTTCTTTTTCTTTTTCTTTCTTTCTTTCTTTCTTTCTTCTTTCTTTCTTTCTCTCTCTCTTTCTTTCTTTCTTTCTTTCTTCTGTCTGTCTGTTCTGTCTGTCTGTCTGTCTGTCTGTCTGTCTGTCTGTCTGTCTGTCTGTCTGTTCTGTCTGTCTGTCTGTCTGTCTGTCTGTCTGTCTGTCTGTCTGTCTGTCTGTCTGTCTGTCTGTCTGTCTTTCTGTTTTTTCTTTCTTTCTTTCTTTCTTTCTTTCTTTCTTTCTTTCTTTCTTTCTTTCTTTCTTTCTTTCTTTCTTTCTTTCTTTCTTTCTTTCTTTTCTTCTTTCTTTCTTTCTTTCTTTCTTCTTCTTTCTTTCTTTCTTTCTTTCTTTCTTTCTTTCTTTTCTTTCTGTCTGTCTGTCTGTCTGTCTGTCTGTCTGTCTGTCTGTCTGTCTGTCTGTCTGTCTGTCTGTCTGTCTGTCTTTCTTTCTTTCTTTCTTTCTTTTTCTTTCTTTCTTTTCTTTCTTTCTTTTCTTTCTTTCTTTCTTTCTTCTTCTTTCTTTCTTTCTTTCTTTCTTTCTTTCTGTCTGTCTGTCTGTCTGTCTGTCTGTCTGTCTGTCTGTCTGTCTGTCTGTCTGTCTGTCTGTCTGTCTGTCTGTCTGTCTGTCTGTCTGTCTGTCTGTCTGTCTGTCTGTCTGTCTTCCTTCTTTCTTTTTTCTTTCTTTTTCTTTCTTTCTTTCTTTCTTTCTTTCTTTCTTTCTTTCTTTCTTTCTTTCTTTCTTTCTTTCTTTCTCTTTCTTTCTTTTCTTTTTCTTTCTTTCTTTCTTCTTTCTTTCTTTCTTTCTTTTCTTTCTTTCTTTCTTTCTTTCTTTCTTTTCTTTCTTTTCTTTCTTTCTTTCTTTCTTTCTTCTTTCTTTCTTTCTTTCTGTCTGTCTGTCTGTCTGTCTGTCTGTCTGTCTGTCTGTCTGTCTGTCTGTCTGTCTGTCTGTCTGTCTGTCTGTCTGTCTGTCTGTCTGTCTGTCTGTCTGTCTGTCTGTCTGTCTGTCTGTCTGTCTGTCTGTCTGTCTTTCTTTTCTTTCTTTTCTTTCTTTCTTTCTTTCTTTCTTTCTTTCTTTCTTTCTTTCTTTTCTTTTCTTTCTTTCTTTCTTTCTCTTTTCTTTCTTTCTTTCTTTCTTCTTTCTTTCTTTCTTTCTTTCTTCTTTCTTTCTTTCTTTCTTTCTTCTTTCTTTCTTTCTTTCTTTCTTTCTTTCTTTCTTTCTTTCTTTCTTTCTTTCTTTCTTTCTTGTTTTTTATTCTTTCTTCTACCCTTTATCCCCATTGTAGAATATACCCTCAGCTAACTCAAGCCAAGCTGGCCTACTCTATGTCATCTCCTTCACCCGACCCCCTGCTCCTTTTATGTCTTCCCCATATAGTTCATCTCTGTGGCTCGGTCATTATTATAACCATGATGTACTTGGCCATTTGGTTGGCGTTTGTGGTAAACATTTAATTGAGGACCTTTGTCTAAACAAGAAGGTGCCAGTACTCACTACAGAGTATCTAAAACAGATGACGGTGCTCACTGCAAAGTGTCTGTTACCACAACGATGCCTTAAAATAAGTGCCAGTACTCACTACAGAGTATCTAAAACAGATGACGGTGCTCACTGCAAAGTGTCTGTTACCACAATGATGCCTTAAAATAGGTGCCAGTACTGCTGTGGTATAGGCAAAGTGCCTAACTTTGTGGTACACACAGGAACCTTTTAAAAACATACTTTGTAATTGTAGTGAATACCGGTATTATGTTACGAGACCCCAACCTCTTCTATAGTGCTATTCTCGCACCACTGTCTGAAAGCCATAACAACGGTCTTGTCGGGACTCTAACCCTGGTACACGTCGAGTATTGCATTGTGAAACGATTTCACTAAACTGTATGCCACAGAGCCTCATATATAAATATAATCACGCCATTTAATGTTCTGTGCAGAACGTCGCTCTCATCAAGGTCTGTCTGAAAGAGACTAGGTCACTGGCCAGTTATCACTTTCATACCTAAGCTGTTACCAGTTTCCCGTGCCCATCTTCGTGCTGGTCGACTCCTGCCTCTCTGGTACCTTACCTTCTGTTATGACTTTTTCTATTCACCGCGGAGCTTCATTAGGCCACAATTTTCAAGTTTCCGGGAACAGATGCTGTTATCTGGCCAATTTTCTTTGATTTTCAAATCTTTTAGGAAGTAAGTATTTCTTTTCCTCTTTGTCCATGGTATTCTAAGAATCTGCCTATAGCAATTTTAGCTCAAAAGCTCATATTTTCTCCCTTAAGGACTGGCATATATATATATATATATATTATATATATATATATATATATATATATATATATATATATATATATATATATATATATATATATATATATATATATATATATTCCCTAGTGTATGTGTGCTTTATCACAGGTGATTTAACTGTAAGTCGAATGAGAGAATAGACATTGAAGATACGTACAATGGAAAGCAACGAAAAATCGAAAGGATATGCCAAACTCTCGATCCACTCAGTGACAGAAAACATTATCCCTCTGAAAGGCAAATCAAAACGTGGCGGCAATGATAAATATTCGGCAGCCAAATCAGGAGTACCGATCCTCCCTAGCTTGGGTGGTAAATTCACGCCCCTGGACGGATCTGCCGCCCCTGTTGATCGCTACAGCAAGATTTACGTGGCTTTCATCCTGTCTGGTATCGGCTATATGCTACCATATACGTGTTTCATTGTGGCTGTCGATTATTACCAGGTATGTAAGGAAAATAAGTATCGTTTGTTTTAGTACATGCATCAGATAAGAGTACAAAGAGTGTACTATCCATTTACTATATCAAGGACAATATAAAAAAAAAATATGTTTACACCGTTGATGATTTTGCAGAAAATGGCTTTTTTACAAATTCATCTCCATTACATCATCACCATCACCACCTCCACCGCCACCATCCCTACTGCAGCCACAAACATAATAAATTATTAAACATCAGCTTTCTTCTTCTTCTTCTCTTCTTTATTTTCTTCTTCTTCTTCTTCTTCTTCTTCTTCTTCTTCTTCTTCTTCTTCTTCTTCTTCTTCTTCTTCTTCTTCTTCTTCTTCTTCTTCTTCTTCTCTTCTTCTTCTTCTTCTTCTTCTTCTTCTTCTTCTTCTTCTTCTTCTTCTTCTTCTTCTTCTTCTTCTTCTTCTTCTTCTTCTTCTTCTTCTTCTTCTTCTTCTTCTTCTTCTTCTTCTTCCTACTCCTCCTTTAAGTTCGCTTACTCATATGTTCGTTCGTTTCGCTCGTCGTCCTCCTCCCATGCCGTGTTCTTCTAACGTTTGTGTGTGTTTTATATACTGTTTTACATATATTGTCTGTGTGTATGCGTCTGTCTGAATATATACATGTGTAATGAACATTTTGCTTGTATGTTTATATTTATGTATTTAAAATGGACGGATTATCTGTCTTTGTTCATAATTATGTAATGCTCATAGTGTATGCGTTTATGCGTCTGTCTGAATACATATATGCATTTCGAACCCACTGTCTGTCTGTTTTTTTTCAAAAATGTTAATGAAGACATTGAAAAGTCTGCACGTTCACTCGTATGTTAATATTGTAACATATATTCGTGTGGGTTCAATGACCCCACTGAGGGTGGGGGGATGGGGAGGAGGAATATACCCACTGTTTCTTTAACAAGCATGTCGTAGGAGATGATTAATTAGAGATTCTCTGCGAAGTCAGGAGTGCATCCGTCTGAGCTACGAGGAACCAATAGTCTTCACACAAGTAAGCTAGATCTGTAAAACAGATGTGCAGATAAAACTGAAATTCTCCAACTTGACCTTAGTCCAGAAGTGGACGAACAACCGGATCTTTCCGCGAAAGTTTGCAGCCGGTGAACACGAAGACACTGTAGTCTGTCTGTATTCACGTATGTTAATGAAGACACCGTAAAGTCTGTCTGTATTCACGTATGTTAATGAAGACATCGTAAAGTCTGTCTGTATTCACGTATGTTAATGAAGACATCGTAAAGTCTGTCTGTATTCACGTATGTTAATGAAGACATCGTAAAGTCTGTCTGTATTCACGTATGTTAATGAAGACACCGTAAAGTCTGTCTGTATTCACGTATGTTAATGAAGACACCGTGAAGTCTGTCTGTATTCACGTATGTTAATGAAGACATCGTAAAGTCTGTCTGTATTCACGTATGTTAATGAAGACACCGTAAAGTCTGTCTGTATTCATGTATGTAAATGAAGACATCCTAAAGTCTGTCTGTATTCATGTATGTAAATGAAGACATGCCTAATTATGTTTGCATAACTCTGCAGTCTGTATTCTCGTATGTTAATGAAGACATCTTAAAGTCTGTCTGTATTCATGTATGTTAATGAAGACATGCCTGATTATGTTTGCATAACTCTACAGTCTGTATTCACGTATGTTAATGAAGACATCGTAAAGTATGTCTGTATTCACGTATGTAAATGAAGACATGCCTAATTATGTTTGCATAACTCTACAGTCTGTATTCACGTATGTTAATGAAGACATCGTAAAGTCTGTCTGTATTCATGTATGTAAATGAAGACATGCCTAATTATGTTTGCATAACTCTACAGTCTGTATTCACGTATGTTAATGAAGACACCGTAAAGTCTGTCTGTATTCATGTATGTAAATGAAGACATGCCTAATTATGTTTGCATAACTCTACAGTCTGTATTCATGTATGTAAATGAAGACATGCCTAATTATGTTTGCATAACTCTACAGTCTGTATTCACGTATGTTAATGAAGACACCGTAAAGTCTGTCTGTATTCATGTATGTAAATGAAGACATGCCTAATTATGTTTGCACAACTCTACAGTCTGTATTCACGTATGTTAATGAAGACACCGTAAAGTCTGTCTGTATTCACGTATGTTAATGAAGACATCCTAAAGTCTGTCTGTATTCATGTATGTAAATGAAGACATGCCTAATTATGTTTGCATAACTCTACAGTCTGTATTCATGTATGTAAATGAAGACATGCCTAATTATGTTTGCATAACTCTACAGTCTGTATTCACGAATGTTAATGAAGACACCGTAAAGTCTGTCTGTATTCATGTATGTAAATGAAGACATGCCTAATTATGTTTGCACAACTCTACAGTCTGTATTCACGTATGTTAATGAAGACACCGTAAAGTCTGTCTGTATTCACGTATGTTAATGAAGACATCCTAAAGTCTGTCTGTATTCATGTATGTAAATGAAGACATGCCTAATTATGTTTGCATAACTCTACAGTCTGTATTCACGTATGTTAATGAAGACATCGTAAAGTATGTCTGTATTCATGTATGTAAATGAAGACATGCCTAATTATGTTTGCATAACTCTACAGTCTGTATTCACGTATGTTAATGAAGACATGCCTAATTATGTTTGCATAACTCTACAGTCTGTATTCACGTATGTTAATGAAGACATGCCTAATTATGTTTGCATAACTCTACAGTCTGTATTCACGTATGTTAATGAAGACATGCCTAATTATGTTTGCATAACTCTACAGTCTGTATTCATGTATGTAAATGAAGACATCGTAAATTCTGTCTGTATTCATTTATGCTAATAGAGAAATGCCTGATTATGTTTGCATAACTCTGCAGTCTGTATTCATGTATGTAAATGAAGACATCGTAAATTCTGTCTGTATTCATTTATGCTAATAGAGAAATGCCTGATTATGTTTGCATAACTCTGCAGTCTGTATTCACGTATGTTAATGAAGACATCGTAAAGTATGTCTGTATTCATGTATGGAAATGAAGACATGCCTAATTATGTTTGCACAACTCTACAGTCTGTATTCACGTATGTTAATGAAGACACCGTAAAGTCTGTCTGTACTCGTGTATGTTAATGAAGACACCGTAAAGTCTGTCTGTATTCACGTATGTTAATGAAGACACCGTAAAGTCTGTCTGTATTCACGTATGTTAATGAAGACATCCTAAAGTCTGTCTGTATTCATGTATGCTAATGAAGACACCGTAAAGTCTGTCTGTACTTGTGTATGTTAATAAAAACATTGTAAAGTAACATTTCTTATTTAATCTTTCCTTGTGATCACATCGAAGAATCGATTCCCACACTCGACGGTTATCTTCGATATGACAACAGCCACCATCATCGTGGGCACCGTCGGGGTGCTGCTTAACAACGCCCTGGTGGAAACCGTCTCCCTGATGTGGCGGGTCATGATTGGCTACATCATGTCCACCTCTTTGCTGCTCTTCCTGACCATCTGCGACGTGACTCTGGATGTCTTTCCCCACGACGCTGCCTACTGGGTGACGCTGGTATCTGTGTCTGCCATATCGATCGGATGTGCGGGTAATATCGATACCTGTGGTGGCCTCTCGTCTGTTTCTTTACTAACAGTGTTGCAGTCAGGGGTGATGACACCGAGAAAACATGATTGGGGGGGGGGGGGGGGGGGGGGGTTATCGGCGCCCCTTACAAATTATCTAGGAAGCCTTAGGGACCAGGAGGTCAGTCGCAATAATAATATAATCATTAATTGTAATATTATTATCATTATCAGCTGAATTGCAAATTATTATGAAATACTGTATAGTAAATATGATGTGAACTGTGTAATATAAATAAATACTTAAAATATAAATTCTATATATGACAGCAAAAAGGATCAGGGTGGGGATGGGTGGGGAGCTTAATCCCTATTTAAACAACACCTCTATTGTAGGGGGGAGGGGGGAGTTGATACCCTCACAACTAAAATGTATTGGGCGTGGGTTGGGGCAAGATCCCTGAACCTCGGGGTTCGGCGCCCCTAGTTGCAGCTTACCTGCTGCCCTGCCAACGTTCACTAGATAATTATCTCAACCGTATGGATGGATGGAGTAATGGCATTGCGTATATAGAGCATAGCTAGGATATCTTTGTTAACGGACGAATCAATATGGATGCAGGCTAGCGAGAATTACTCTTGTCCGGAGTGACATGCCGAAGATTTGTTTGGTTTCTTTCCTCTTTATGTGTATGTGTGTGTGTGTGCGTGCGTGCGTGCGCGCGCGCGAGCTTGATAAAACATGTAGTATCTTCATAGTGAACTTTCCTATATTGGTAGGGTGACCATATTATTTTGAGCCGGGACATTGCAAGTAAGTCAATTTAACCCCACTCCCTTTTTTAGGTCACCGGGCTGAAAGGGTACATTTCTCGATCGACAGTGGTTTTAAAACCTGAAACAGTTTGGTCTTTAACACCTCTGAAAAAGACACATGCTACACTCCAGATCAACATATTTCAGCCATTAACATGATCTGTTCTAGTGTATGTTCTATTCTCGAGTTTGTTCCAAGATATTTAGACAAGACAATTAGCGATTCTTTTCTTCAGAGTGCCGACGGGACGGCCATGGTACACGTAAAAAACGACAAAGTCACGATGAAAACAGAACCTACTGTCACCTTAGATCAGCGCTTTCAACCTGCCGGTCTGGGCGCTTTTTGTATGGGTCGAACGACCCTTTAACATGGGTCGCATAAGACCTTCGGAAAATACATAGTCATTGAAGTTATGAAGGACAATAATTGTATCGATTTTTCGTTGGCTACTGAGGAAGGAGACAGAGCACGTTTGGGAATGTCCCAAGTGCATGGATGTCAATACATTCGGACCCATTGATGTCAGTCTCTTGATTTGACGCGTCCGTGGCAGGCGACTGCTGTCATCACACCCCAGGGCCTCAGTCTTTCAGCAGTTCTCACGTCTCCTGCCTGTTCGTGCTCACGGTAACTTTGATATACTGTGGCCACCGTTGGGCTCTCAGGCCTGTTCCTATTCCCAGTGTCTTTAATGTCCTGTGTCCACCGTTAGGCTCCCAGGCCTGTTCCTACTCACGATATTATTAATATACTAAGGCCTGTTCATACTCACGATATTATTAATATACTCCAGCCACTGTAAGGCTCTCAGGCCTGTTATTGCTCACGATATCTTTAATATACTCCAGTCACCGTAAGGCTCTCAGGCCTGTTTTTACGCACGGTAAAATAAAGAAGAAAAAGGAGAAGAAAAAGAAGAAGAAGAAGAAGAAGAAGAAGAAGAAGAAGAAGAAGAAGAAGAAGAAGAAGAAGAAGAAGAAGAAGAAGAAGAAGAAGAAGAAGAAGAAGAAGAAGAAGAAGAAGAAGAAGAAGAAGAAGAAGAAGCGTGACACATAGACACACAGTACCCATTCTACTACACCCCGAAAAGATCTATTACAGGAAAACTACATTTGTGAAGAAACAAAAAAGCCAACTGTAATTTCTCGAGGCCTCTGCAGATTGTGAGATCCTAAACTCTAGCTTGTGCCTAAACCCAGCACCGCCGATGGTCTTTATAGTTGATTGTGAGTTGGAAGCAACACCTGTGTCATCAAATTTGAGTGGCTCAAGCAGCTACACACACTTCTCATCAATCATATCTTGACTATCAAAGTGCATCCCTACACCCTCTGACCTTTGGCATACTTACACACTACAGTGAGTTAACACATAGAAATCACCCCCCCCCCCCACACACACACACATTATTTGATTTTCTGTAACTCCACCATTACAGTTCAACAGTCCAGTTTCTATGGATACGCAAACATGTTACCAAGACGATATACACAAGCCGTGATGGTCGGAGAAAGTAAGTACATTTATCTTGCCTTCAATCATCATCACTTTCCACTTCTGCCGTTAAGCGTTGTGGGGAGGAACAGTTTGCGATCCATTGATTAATAGGCAGCAATGGCTATTGTCGTTCCCTGTCAATGTAAACGCTCTTTAATGTCATCAGTCCATCTTCTCCTAGGACGGCCTCTTGATTCACTTTAGAACTTTTCATGCATAGCGCCTGTGTTAGCAATGGTTCTGGCTGCATTCTTACTGAATGATCAAACTGTTAGATCTTCTGTTTCTCAATGAATTTGCTGCACGGTGTTGTTCTTACAGTCTGTCTGACAGTATCATTTTTAACTTTGTCTCAGCTAAGTTGGCGGCTTTTCTCAGACATCTTATTTCACAGGTATTCATTTTACGTAGGTTATCCTTTGATAATGTCCACGTCTGGCACTGGTAGCACAGGATTGGTATGACTATGCTGTTTATAATCTGTTTGTTGGCGCTTATACGTATGTCTCTTAATTAAGGTGTCAGTTGGTATATAAGGGTGCTGGCTGGTAGGCATCATGTTTCTAAATCCCTAACTATTCTCTTGTCCTCCAAAAATATACTTCCTAGATATCTCAATTTGATTTTCTTCAGACAAGCACCATTCAACCCGATATGTAGCTAACTAGGAATTCTGCCGACTTGCATTAAGTCAATTCTAGTAGTCTTGACTTTAGTACAAGTAATTAAAGCACTCGTTGTCTTCCGTTGATACATATGATCTGTATATATGTTTTATAAACTAGTAAGCATTCTATAGATGATGTGGTCCGGTCGCCTTTACTTCCCAGTATCTTTTTCAGTACTCACTGTAGGCTGGGTCGACCAGGACAAACTGGAAAAAAAAAAATGAAAGACTCAATAGGGATTCGAACGCCAAACATCGTGTCCGCAGCAAGCGTGTGACAACATCTCCCTCTCTAGGTTTTAGCTAACAATGTAATGTGTTTTCATATTTGTGACGTCTCTAATCACACAGGCACAGGTTTTTGTTTCTGCAGAAACGAGATAAAACTGTTTGATGAATGTGCTCTTATCTGGCTACATACATCCAGTTTTAACATCTGGCTGTGAATCCTGGACAATCGGTAGGCAGGCCAAACAATTTCTAGAGGCCTCAGAGATGTGGTTTTACAGAAAAATGCTTAGAATACCTGACGAGCCCCCCCCCCCCCCCCCCCCAAAAAAAAAAAAAAAAAGAGAGCAACCAAGAGGTTTTGTAAGAGGCGGGAGCCCGAAGACAACTTATCAGAGCTATCAAAAGGAGCCAGTCGTCATTTTTCGGCCATGTTATGAGAAGAGGGAAAATAGAACATGTGGTGACCACTTGAAAGATAGGTGGAAGGAGGGATACAGGACGACAAGGAGAAAAGATTCTTGACAGTCTTTTTGCATGGAGGTGTGTCGGCACACGAACTGATACATGCTGCAGGAGATCTCAGTTTGTGAAGAGGCATGATCGCCCACACCAGTCAGCAAGGCACCGATGATGAAGTTCTCCTCTGGGTGTGCTGTTTTGTTAATATTATTTGGTGTCAATCGTGGGCAAGTTGGGAGAAACGGACATGAAATTGCTTCCCGCGTTATGTTGACCACATCACTCACCAAGTGTCCTTTGGTCTATAAAAAAATAGGTCCTGTCCTATATGCCCAGTTGAAGGCGCGGAAGGCTCCATTATTTACTAAAATAGTTTATGGTGGCTGGAACAGGTTCGCATCTACCTTGTTGATGCAAAATCTCCAATTCTAGACCGAGATACCAAAGGTTCCGTCGCTCAGCTACCTAGTTGAGAGCTTTGTGTGCGATCTGAACTGTGATTTCATGTAGAATGTATGTTTGTTTTTGTTTTGTTGCTGTTCTGCTTTCGGCGTGATGTTGACTGCACTAAAATGGCGTCTGACCGAAGATGTTCAGAATGCCGTGAACTTTGCGTGTGCAATACCGGTTTTCTTAATTCGCTGTATGCATCAGCAACGAGCTGCAATTCTGGCGTGTGACCGTTAGTGTTGGCACACATACCAGCTGTCTTGTGCATTTTCAATTTGTGTCTAAAAGCTTCATGATTTTACTGGGGCTGGCACATTTATAACTGGTTTTAAAATGGTACAGCGAAGGACATTGTGTGATTTCCACTGGCACAGGAAAAGAGAAGCTATGAGGCAACCCGTCTGCGGCCATGTTGGAACCTCTACTAGCGATAATTAATCGCCATGGACCGTGTTGCGTGAAGGAGGAAATCAGGATGGAGATTGGAATACGTTATGCATTTTCAGTTCTAACGTTTTTCGATTTAAAAATTTGCAAGTGAGAGCTGGAGAACCAGGACATGAAAAAAGCAAATAGCATTGGAAAACAAATACCCAAGGAAAAATGATGAGAATAAAGTGTGGTGAATTCAAAAGGAGGGACAAAATAAGAGAAATTTAACATATCCCGAGAAGAAGCCAGTAGAGAATCACCTAACAGGCATTGAAATAGGAAATAAATTGATTAAGTAGGCAAGATTGACTAAAAGAAACCTTAAAATGAATGTTAAAGATAGAGGCCAAAGCTACTGGAATGGATTCCACCCATTATATTAAACTGACTGCACAGCATAGACGGGAATATTGGATTAGACTTGGTAATCTTGGTAATCTTAGTTTCAGCTTCATAGCAAACGAGTCACCCAGTTGTTGCTCCGCTCCTGTGCCAACGAAAAACACACAGACTGGTCGTCGCAGTCCCTTGTGGAAAGATTGACAGACTGCTGGCTCAGCACATGCACTAGCATACACACGCATTAAAAGCATACGGTAGCCATCAGAAGTACTAACACAAACAGTTTGACATTAGAAATGCAGTTCATCATCGACGGCAGCAGAAGTTACCAACACATCAGCAGTTGCACACGCGATCAATATTAATCACATTAGGGCACCCCCAATATTGCGGCGACAGGCCACTCGCCATTTCTCAATCTACAGTTCACAACACCACGTAGGTCACAGTCGCGCCATGCACTCAACCCAGTAGCTGGCATGACGAAACTGTATCCTTTCAGTCTACAAATGGATCAAAAATGCAACGGCCACTGTCTGGCAGAAGCAAAAAAATTTGCCTCGACGCGAAACAGTAACCGCCCCTGGCGTCCATTTTGACCGGAAGACTGCAAGCCCTATTGATTGATTTGTACCTATCCGTCTTTCCAGACGACAGTGTTATATTGTGCTATGAGGAGGCATGGGACTCAAAGCCCATGGCTATGGCGAGTGTGACAAGCAAGACCTACCCGCGTTTAGAAAAGTCTTCCACCTTTATAGCATGGAATTTCAGGACTATTGTTGTTAAGATTTGTGTTCACTGTGTTTCTTCTCAGACGCTCAGCTCTCATCCTTTCTTCTTTTATTATCGTTCCCTTCCTGATGTGCCCCCCTCCACACAATACGGTCCTTGGCATTTTGTTCCCACGAGTCCACTTCTGTGCCTGTACCATTCTTGTCCCGCTTGCACGAATCTTTATATCGTAGTAGAGGTCGGCCTCAACACCTAACCATCATTAATTCGCCATAGAGAGTGTCTTTAGGGACTGCCATCCTCCATTCTCCAGGTGTGATCCAGCCACCTGAGCATTCACGGACTGAGCATTCAAAAACAATGGCAAACTCCTGAACGTAGAATTGTCTAGTAAAACCATGAACTGCTGTTGCGCGCTGATTTGATGTTGGCTGTCATAGCTTACGACGTCTTGCAAAATCATGGGAAAGAGACGTACAACTTTCTCTCTCTCTTTCTCTCTCCCTCTCTCTTTCTCCCCCCTCCCCTCTCTCTCCAGTGCATTAGTCTGAGATGCGATGGAACAACTCCAGAATAAAATAAATGTGTGACTAATTGTATAGTTTCAGACACGGCATAACGCTGTGTCCTGTAACCACAGTAATTTTTTTCTGAGAGCACCAATTTGATGGCACACCGGTACTGTTACCATGGGGACCCCGGCCATGTTAATTCTATAGCGTTATGTAATTGAGGCAAATCGACATGATTTTAAAAAAAGTATTCAGTTCTAACGTGTATTTTTGACTGTTTCTGTAAGTGTTGTTTTCAGAAAAATTTTAAGTATGCGTTCCAGCAACCAAGCAACACTTTTTTCAGTGTTTTCGTGGTTTTACCAAAAATTTTGTGTTTTAACAAATAACCTTTTAATTGCAGGCTCTCTCTCTCTCTTTCTCTCTATCTCTCTCTGTCTATCTCTCTGTCTCTCTCTGTCTCTCTCTGCCTGTCTCTCTCTGTCTCTCTGTCTCTGTCTGTCTCTCTCTGTCTCTCTCTCTCTTTCTCTCTCTCTTTCTCTCTCTCTGTCTCTCTCTGTCTGTCTCTCTCTGTCTCCCTGTCTCTGTCTGTCTCTCTCTGTCTCTTTCTTTCTCTCTCTGTGTCTCTCTCTGTTTCTTTTTCTGTCTCTCTCTCTGTCCGTCTCTCTCTGTCTCTCTCTCTGTCTCTCTCTTTGTCTGGATCTCTCTCTGTCTCTTCTGTCTCTCTTTCTCTGTGTCTCTCTCTGCCTGTTTGTCTGTCTGTCTCTGTTTGTCTGTCTCTCTGTCTTTCTCTCTTTGTCTCTCTGTCTTTTTCTGTCTCTCTCTCTCTCTCTCTCTCTCTCTCTCTCTCTCTATCTATATATATATATATATATATATATATATATATATATATATATATATATATATATATATATATATATATATATATATATATATATATAAGCACTTTTTAATTTCACTCTTAACCCCTACCCCCTCCCCCGTCTACTTTCCTATAGTCTCTTCGTTAACTACTCTCTCTCTCTTTCTTCTCCCACTCCCATGTCTTTTCCTCTTTTCAAGCACACCCCCCTCCAGCTAACTATCACGCCTCAATCTTTCTTTTTTACCCATCTTCTCTTTCTCTCTCTCTCGCTCTCTCTCTCTTTCCTCCCTCTCTCTCTCCCTCTCTCTCTCTCTCTCTCTCTCTCTCTCTCTCTCTCTCTCTCTCTCTCTCTCTCATCTTTTCAACTATTTCAGATTAATGATAATCTTATGGTAGATTCAACCTAAAAGATTGGTGGATTTGGTCATCCCCCTGTTCTAGACCATGGTGAGATGAGTTCGAGCAGCCAGTTCCATTACTGGCTTATCTTCTCACACAGGCAAATCACAAAACTGATAGCCATGACCTTACCCGCACAGGCCACACCAGGATGGTGTCGTCATTACGGGCGCCCTTACTTCTTTCGAGATTGAACGGGTATTTGAGATCTACCTTATTGAACTGCCGTCCAGATAGAGAATTAAAAAAAAAACCCAGTCCTAGGATGGTTGAGTAAATCTTTAGGTAGCAGCCCAAAGGGGATACACTGATCGATCCATGGTCTGGTAGCAAGGGTTGGTGCAAGAAACGTATTTATCGAGGAAAAGAAAACCATATCACTTTTTTTTAAACGTCTCCATCTTCTTATTTTTCGTGTTCACCGGCTGTAAACGGTTGTTCGTCCACTTCTGGACATTAGCCTTGTTCCAGAACGTGAGTTTTGCGTGTACATCCGTTTTAAAGATTTGGCTTATTTGTGCGTATACTGTTTGTTTCTTGCCTCTCATACCGATGCACTCCGACTTCTAAGGAAACCCCTAATTTATTAGTCGACACTTAGGAAATACTTGTTAGAGAGCCAGCGTTTGTATACCCCTCCCCCACCAGATAATGGAGCCCCCAGAACCCACACATGGGTTTTTTTTTAAGCCTGAACCTAGACCACTTCCATGGAGGGTAAGTGTACTGACTGCTCAGTGGCTAGGTCTCGTAAGCGGTAACAGTCAGTAGAGACAGGAAACAGATGCGACTTGTCACCACGATTGTTTATGTCGAGCCGTCTTCTACTACCACTACCAACACTAACATAACCACCACCGCCACCACTTCCACTACTGTGTCATATTTCTACCACTATCACCAGTACGACCACCACTACTACCACGAAGATTACCACCACCATCACTACCACATACACCACAATCACCCCTACTACTAATACCACCACCACCACTATAACTACCATCACTTCTGCTGCTAAAGGTTATCCCCACCACTACCACATCTAATATTGCTACCACTACTGCTACCACAGACAATACTACCACCACCACCATCATCTTCACCAATGTTGATAACATTACCACTGCCACATACAATACTACCACAACCATCACCACCACTATAGCTAGCTACCATTACTACCACTACAGACAATACTACCACCACAATTACTAATACTTTCGCCACCACCACTACTGCTGCTAAAAGCCACTACCACAACTACCATTGCTAACCTACCATCACCGATACCACCACCACCACTACCACTACTAATACTACTGGCTGATACTACTGCTACTGCAACTTAAGCCACGAAATAGACAGCGTATTTCAAGCAGCGTCTTATACACAAACAGTGAGCATGACCCTATTTCTGGCACATGTAGCATTGTTACTTGTAAATGCCATTCTTTTTCTTGTCGATGTTGCAGGCTTTGCTGGAGTTCTAGTGTCGCTGAACCGCATCATTACCAAACTGTTGCTGAAGGATGAGAGAATCAATACCACCATCTTCTTCATCATCTCCATCTTCGTCATTGGGATTTGCTGCTTTACATTTGTCTTGGCCAGGTGAGTGAGTATTGATCTTGCAGGCCTCCGGGTTGCTTTTTCTGTGTGTATGTTCGTCTGTACTAGGGTTTGTTTTGGTTTGTTTAACTCATTATATGTCTGTATGGTTGTTTAACTCATTGTCTGTCTGTATGGTTGTTATGGTTTTTAGTTTGTGTCAGTCCTCTTGTAAGTCGTTCTTTCTGTCGATGTGTTTTTGGTATATTAGTAGCAGTTGTTGTTGTTGTTGTTGTTGCTCTTCTCCTTTTTTTTTCTCCCTCTTCTTTCCTCCTCCTTTTTGTTCTTCTTCTTCTTCTTCTTCTTCTTCTTCTTCTTTTTCTTCTTCTTCTTCTTCTTCTTCTTTCTTCTTCTTCTTCTTCTTCTTCTTCTTCTTCTTCTTCTTCTTCTTCTTCTTCTTCTTCTTCTTCTTCTCTTCTTCTTCTTCTTCTTCTTCTTCTCTTCTTCTTCTTCTTCTTCTTCTTCTTCTTCTTCTTCTTCTTCTTCTTCTTCTTCTCTTTCTTCTTCTTCTTTCTTCTTCTTCTCTTCTTCTTCTTCTCTTCTTTCTTCTTTCTTCTTCTTCTTCTTCTTCTTCTTCTTCTTCTTCTTCTTCTTCTTCTTCTTCTTCTTTCTTCTTCTTTTCCTTCTACACTTCCTCCTCTTCCTGCTGTTGCTTCCTCTTTTTCTTCTTTGCTGCCGCTATCTTCTCCACCTTCTCCTTTTCCTGCTTTTCCGTCTTCCTTTTCTTCTGTTGCTGCCGCTAATATCTTCTGTTCCTCTGCCAGGCGCACCAGTTTCGTCAAGCACCACCTGTACAGCTGCAGGGCAGACAAGTCCAGGCAAGAGACGGACGACACTGTAAGTATGTCTGTCCTTCACTTGTTCAGTCTTCATCATACAGACTTTAAATAATCATGTGGGTGACTAAAAGTGTTAGCCAGGGAAGCCTCTGGGGAGGGGTTAACCCTGGTTTAAATGTGCAGTAATAATAATAATAAATATTATGTGCCGAATGGCAATAAATATACTCCCGCCTCCATTGTTTAGGGGCCCAAGGTCCTCAGGTCCGAGCGCATATGAAAACATCATTAAGTGGCTTGTGATGCTTTCGTTTTAATGGCTTGTGATACCTTCATTTTTATGGCTTGTGATACTTTCGTTTTTATGGCTTGTGATACTTTCGTTTTCATGGCTTGTGATACTTTCGTTATGATGGCTTGTGTTGTTTTCGTTATGATGACTTGTGATATTTTCGTTATGATGGCTTGTGATACTCTCGTTATGATGGCTTGTGATACTTTCGTTATGATGGCTTGTGATACTCTCGTTATGATATGACGGCTTGTGATACTTTCGTTATTATGGCTTGTGATACTTTCGTTATTATGGCTTGTGATACTTTCGTTATGAAAGCTTGTAATACTTTCGTTATGATGGCTTGTGATACTTTCGCTATGATGGCTTGTGATACTTTCGTTATGAAAGCTTGTAATACTTTCGTTATGATGGCTTGTGATACTTTCGTTATAATAGCTTGTAATATTTTTTTGTTATGATAACTTCTGATACTTTCGTTGTGATGGCATGTGATACTTTCGTTATGATAGCTTGGGATATTTTCGTTATGATAGCTTGTGATACTTTCGTTATGATAGCTTGTGATACTTTCGTTATAAATTTCGCTAGATACCCTCTTGTTTATGGTCTTGGTTTCGTTTCGTCAACTGTTTGCCTCTTGCTATTTTCTAATGCCTATCGAATGCCAGATATCTCGAGCAGCGCAATGCGTGCCAAATCCAGCACTTTATGTATGGAAATAAGTTTGTTCCCAAACCAAACAAAAAACAAAAACTTGATTATTTATGCATAGAATGTTCAGAGAGAGAATAGGAACGTTCGATAGATGTACTAAGCGGCGTAGGAAATATGCCAATGTATCAAACTGATACACAGCATTACATAGAGGGTGGGATAATAGTTGGTCGAAATTGGGCAAATGATAAGAGCCTTCGCTCTGACTTAAGACTTTAACTTAACACAACCTGGTGTGTCCCATAGGGGCCTTAATTATAACTTTCTTGTCGGTTGAAAAAGGTTAGTTAGTTAGTTAGTTAGTTAGTTAGTTAGTTAGTTAGTTAGTTAGTTAGTTAGTTAGTTAGTTAGTTAGTTAGTTAGTTAGTTAGTTTAGTTTAGTTAGTTAATTAGTTAGTTAGTTAGTTAGTTAGTTAGTTAGTTAGTTAGTTAGTTAGTTAGTTAGTTAGTTAGTTAGTTAGTTAGTTAGTTAGTTAGTTAGTTAGTTAGTTAGTTAGTTAGTTAGTTAGCTAGCTAGTTAGTTAGTTAGTTAGTTAGCTAGCTAGCTAGCTAGTTAGCTAGCTAGTTAGTTAGTTAGTTTAGTTAGTTAGTTAGTTAGTTAGTTAGTTAGCTAGCTAGCTAGCTAGCTAGCTAGCTAGTTAGTTAGTTAGTTAGTTAGTTAGTTAGTTAGTTAGTTAGTTAGTTAGTTAGTTAGTCCACAGATTATCCTCATTACACATCGAACCACTCAGTCCATAAGTGCTCTGATCCCCTCCTCAGTAAATCTCGCAGGGTGTAGCGGCTAACGACACCAGTTCTGTGTTGGTTGATTATAATTCTTTGGCTACCCGCCTAGCACCTGGCCCAGGATAGAAAACTGCGACTCCCCACTACGCTGTGAGGCAATTGTGGACAAGACAAGACAAGACCCGCCTAGTGTTCTTGTTTGGCGACACCCCGTTTAACTTGCTGTTCTTGCAGTCTGACCATGGTTGCAGATTCACAGTTCTCAATTGGTTCAATCAAACGTCTTAAATCTCGCAGGGTAGAGCATTCAGTATATCAGCCAGGTCCATGGCATGTCCGGCTTTCACAGTAACCTTACCTGCACGTCAATCAGCTTGCTCATTTCCTTGTACCCCCACATATCCTGGCACGAAAATGAAACTAACCCTTGTCAGCCGTCAACGCTGTAGAGCTACCAACCACTCTCTTCAGACCCAGCACTTCTCTATCTTCTTGAGCATACTCATCGAGTCACTGAGAAAGCATGCCCTAGTGAAAGTCTGTGTGAACAAGGTGTCTGGGCTTACCCTGTTGGTCTGCCACCACTCCGAGACTTCAAAAACATTTGACGGTATCCAGTCTTCAGTCCTGCTGGTTCTGTCATCCAGACTGAAGTCTTCGCATTTCAGAGTCTCAAACTTTTAGGTAGCAACCCGGAGAGGATAAACTTCATAACAGGCCGGATGTATCGCTGGTGTAGAAAGTGAGGCTTGCTTTACTAAAAAAAAAAAACAACGACATTGTAGCTGTTAGACTGTCGTCTGCTGATCCAAAGGTCAAGGTTGCAGGTCCTGGCGGAGCCGGACTTTTTTTTCAAAATTACTTTGACTCGCGTGTCTAACCAGCCTCAAATGGGTCAAAGTCACGGGAAGTAAAGACGGCTGGTGTAATACACATCCCTCACCAAGTGTTGATTGGTCTATAAAATATAGACCTAGCCCTTTATGCTTCATGCGCCTGATGGAGTGGAAAAGGGTCCTTTACTTTTATTTAGAACTATTACACAAATTAGTAGTAGTACATTTTACCCCACAAGCGATAAACACACGATGACACAAAGTGCCACCATGTGGATGTGGATCACCTATGGAGAGGTCCCGGAAAACGCGTTTAGCCAATAGACCATATTTATGGCTGGGCTATATTGCGGCCCCTGGCAAGAGCGAGGGTGGGGCTTCAAAATAACGAAAGTTGCCTCGCACAAGGTGATGACTAGTAGATTATTACACAAAGATAAAGTGATAAAATCATCAGTAAAATATACGAGAAGTCGTACTGTAGATTTACATAACTTCTCTTGCAGACGGCCTTCAAGCTGACGCAAGGACAGTATGCCTGCTTCGAATTTGAGGTTCCTCCCAGACAAGATCACAATAAGGACACATCAACCTCTTCTGACTGCACAGAGAAAACCAGCTCAGCCAAAGTCAACGACCAGTCGCTGGAGGAAACTGCCTGCAGACAGGGACGTAACTCAGACGTATCTTTCAAGGGCCGTAACTCCGTCATGTACGGGACGTCCAGGAACAATGACGGGGACGTGACGGGAAGTAGGGCGTCGCTGGTCGTCGACCACAGGTCCACCTTTAAATGTAAGGAATGATGATGCTGATGATTATATGTTTGTTGTGTGAAAGATTGTTTTATTGTGGCATTGATCAACATCATCGCATCACCGTCATTGCATCATCACCGTCATCACTGTCGCATCAAAACTGTATGGTACACGAGAAGATATGGATTGCACAATAGCTTTCATAAAGGCTACCGGCCTCCTGATTAGTTTTCTGACAAAAGGATCGAAAAAGAAGAAGAAGAAGAAGAAGACTGCCGCATTATTTCATCATCACATCACATCAATACATCATCATCATCAACATCATATCGCGTAATTATCATCAACATGATCCATCGCATCACATCATTGTCTCATCATGATTACACCATCATCACCATCTGACAAGCGATAGAATCATCGTCATAATTATTCATGATAATCATAGTGAAAGATATAACTGTAGTATTACAACCCCTATCAGTGTCCTTCTATTGATGTCATTACACACATAGCGTAACATTTGACCCGTTATGAGTCGTGGAGGTAACTTGATGGAAGCACTTGCATGCAATACCCACCATCTTTCTCTGTCTTCCGCTTGTGTATGATAACTGAGTCCCGTCCATTTCTTGGTGTTGTCTTTCTGGTTTTTCTTTGCCCTCTTCTTCGACTAACCCTAGACATTCGAGCCGGCAGGCGAGCGTCTAGCCACTTCACTATCGCGGCTCCCAGAGACCTCTAAGATATTTATCATCATCAGGTGTCTTGCCGACTGACGTGGGCGATCATGACTCTCCGCAATGTGCGATCTTTAACAGCATGTATTAGTTGGTGTGCTAACATCCCTTCGTGCCATGTGAAAAGTCAAGGACCCTTTTCGACGCCTTTAGGTGTAGTGGACATATAGGGCTAGACCTAAATTTTATAAACACATCGGCACTAGGTGAGTGATGTGATCAGCATCACACAGGTCGCTTTTACTTCCTATGACTTTACCTGGTACCCACTCAAGGCTGAGTAGCTCAGGGAGCCTTTGAAAAAAAAAAGGAAAGTCCAGCTGCGTTCGGATTGGAACTCACGACTTTCAGATTCTCAGGCAAGCGTCTAGCTGCAACATCACGGCAGCTCTCTGGGAACAGGCTGTCAGGAATCTTCTCGTGTTGTTTTTATTTGTGAGTCCTTCCACATTTTTCTAGCGGTCACAACATGTTCTAGTTTTCTTCTTCTCATAACTTGACCAAATATCTCTTTCTGATGTTTGTGATAAGTTGTCTTCGAGCCTTCGCTTCTTTCAAAACAGCTGGGTTGGTCTTTTTGGTTGTATTAGGAACTCTGCGCATTGATGTGTAAAACCACATCCCCAAGATATCATACAAGTATATACTATAAAGCTGTTCATCATACACAGTTTCTGTCTGTCTGTCTGTCTGTCTGTCTGTCTGTCTGTCTGTCTGTCTGTCTGTCTGTCTGTCTGTCTGTCTGTCTGTCTGTCTGTCTGTCTGTCTGTCTGTCTGTCTGTCTGTCTGTCTGTCTGTCTGTCTGTCTGTCTGTCTGTCTGTCTGTCTGTCTGTCTGTCTATCTATCTATCTATCTATCTATCTATCTGTCTGTCTGTCTGTCTGTCTGTCTGTCTGTCTGTCTGTCTGTCTGTCTGTCTGTCTGTCTGTCTGTCTGTCTGTCTGTCTGTCTGTCTGTCTGTCTGTCTGTCTGTCTATCTATCTATCTATCTGTCTGTCTGTCTGTCTGTCTGTCTGTCTGTCTGTCTGTCTGTCTGTCTGTCTGTCTGTCTATCTGTCTATCTATCTATCTATCTATCTATCTATCTATCTATCTATCTATCTATCTATCTATCTATCTATCTATCTATCTATCTATCTATCTATCTATCTATCTATCTATCTATCTATCTATCTATCTATCTATCTATCTATCTATCTATCTATCTATCTATCTATCTATCTATCTATCTATCTATCTATCTATCTATCTATCTATCTGTCTGTCTGTCTGTCTGTCTGTCTGTCTGTCTGTCTGTCTGTCTGTCTGTCTGTCTGTCTGTCTGTCTGTCTGTCTGTCTGTCTGTCTGTCTGTCTGTCTGTCTGTCTGTCTGTCTGTCTGTCTGTCTGTCTGTCTGTCTGTCTGTCTGTCTGTCTGTCTGTCTGTCTGTCTGTCTGTCTGTCTGTCTGTCTGTCTGTCTGTCTGTCTGTCTGTCTGTCTGTCTGTCTGTCTGTCTGTCTGTCTGTCTGTCTGTCTGTCTGTCTGTCTGTCTGTCTGTCTGTCTGTCTGTCTGTCTGTCTGTCTGTCTATCTATCTATCTATCTATCTATCTATCTATCTATCTGTCTGTCTGTCTGTCTGTCTGTCTGTCTGTCTGTCTGTCTGTCTGTCTGTCTGTCTGTCTGTCTGTCTGTCTGTCTGTCTGTCTGTCTGTCTGTCTGTCTGTCTGTCTGTCTGTCTGTCTGTCTGTCTGTCTGTCTGTCTGTCTGTCTATCTATCTGTATGTCTGTCTATCTGTCTATCCGTCTGTCTGTCTGTCTATCCATCTGTCTGTCTGTCTGTCTGTCTGTCTGTCTGTCTGTCTGTCTGTCTGTCTGTCTGTCTGTCTGTCTGTCTGTCTACAACAGTTTTACTATTTCAGCACTACTCAATGCCTGTTGTCTGTCTAACTACATCAGTGCTACTATTTCAGCACGACTCAATGCCCGTTGTCTGTCTGTCTAACTACATCAGTGCTACTATTTCAGCACGACTCAATGCCCGTTGTCTGTCTGTCTGACTACATCAGTGCTACTATTTCAGCACGACTCAATGCCCGTTGTCTGTCTGTCTGACTACATCAGTGCTACTATTTCAGCATGACTCAATGCCCGTTGTCTGTCTGTCTATGCTACTATTTCAGCACGACTCAATGCCCGTTGTCTGTCTGTCTATGCTACTATTTCAGCATGACTCAATGCCCGTTGTCTGTCTGTCTATGCTACTATTTCAGCATGACTCAATGCCCGTTGTCTGTCTGTCTATGCTACTATTTCAACACGACTCAATGCCCGTTGTCTGTCTGTCTATGCTACTATTTCAGCACGACTCAATGCCCGTTGTCTGTCTGTCTATGCTACTATTTCAGCGCGACTCAAGGCCCGTTGTCTGTCTGTCTATGCTACTATTTCAGCACGACTCAATGCCCATTGTCTGTCTGTCTATGCTACTATTTCAGCACGACTCAATGCCCATTGTCTGTCTGTCTATGCTACTATTTCAGCACGACTCAATGCCCATTGTCTGTCTGTCTATGCTACTATTTCAGCACGACTCAATGCCCATTGTCTGTCTGTCTATGCTACTATTTCAGCACGACTCAATGCCTGTTGTCTGTCTAACTACATCAGTGCTACTATTTCAGCACTACTCAATGCCCGTTGTCTGTCTGTCTATGCTACTATTTCAGCGCGACTCAAGGCCCGTTGTCTGTCTGTCTATGCTACTATTTCAGCGCGACTCAAGGCCCGCTGGGAAGTCACTAAACAAATCTACCCCTACATGACCTCATTTGGCCTGACCTTCTACGTCTCCGTGTCCTTGTACCCAGGCATCATCTCTGAGGTGGTCAGTTGCCGACTGGGCACCTGGATGCCTGTCCTGCTCATGGCCTGCTTCAACCTGACTGATGCCTTTGGCAAGGTAAGTTTTCCATGAAAGATGTGGTCAACATCACGCCGGCCGCCTTTACTTCTCAGGACTTTACATGGTACCCATTTAAAATTGGGTCGACCTGGGAGCCAAAGTTATTTTTAAAGAAAACAAAAGTCCGGTTCCATCACAAATGAACCCCACGACCTTCTGATCCACACGCTAGCGTTTAGCTGCTACAAACAGCGACTCCCTTTTTGTGTATGTCTGAGTCTTTAACTATCGTACATTGTGTCATGTAATTGTCTTTAGCCTTTTGCCATTTCGACTTCAAGAATGCAGGAATCTTTACATATTTTTAGCAGATTACTGTATGCCGTTGTTGCGGTGGAAATTTTTAATCTAGCAGATTACTATATAAATTTGGTTTTAAACATAGAAAGACGTGCTTCTGTAGAACTAAGGTTTAAAAAAAAGTAATCCGACAGAGTAAAGTATAATTTTGGTTGTAAACATAGGAAGATAGGCTTGTGTATAACTGAGGTTTGAAAAAAAAAAGATGTCATACAGATTACACTAAATGTTTTGGGCTGTAAACACACTGAATACTGTAGATATTAATCAAACAAGAATTCGAATTTGTCAGCTTTACATGATCACATTCGCGAACGAAAAAATTACCGTTTTGGCTACAAAGCCTTCGTCAGCATATAATATAAACAAACAAGGATATAGCTGCAAACACTAATAAGCAAAATCATTTAACTCTGCGTTGATGTCTTCCCTAGAAACTCCGAGTCTCGCGTGGTACCGGAAGTTAGACAGGAAAAGGATTGGCAGATTTTGGTAGGGCCGTAAATGCAGAAAATCAAACATGTTAGATACGGCTGTGTTGTACGTTTGGACCATAAGGTGAGAGAAGCACATAGGACAGATAAGGCAGTAATCAAGAGGCTTGCAAATTCTTTATTTGGAGTGGTCAATTTTGATATAGTTTTAAAAGTTATTTGCGTACCCTTTGCATGACGTTGCAGAGCCAACCCCAGCATTTTTTGGCTGTTGTGTTTTTTCTAGGCAAATTTTCAGTAAATTACTCAGTGCCTACTGTAGAATTTAGGATGTAAATAAAATAAATTGACAAATCACTATGGAATTAAGATATACAATTGAGAGACAAACAGAGAGTCATTATGTTTAGTTGACTTTCAAAACTTTACTTATATTACGTTTTATCTTATATGATTCTTAAACATTTCTACAGACTCTTACATCAATAAAGCAAACCTACTCAAAGCTCCGCCTTCTGCTGTGTTCACTAGCTCGTTTTAGTTTAATCCCATTGGCCATCATGTGTTGTAAGCCAAGATATCACCCAATCCTCAGCGGGGAGGTGTGGCCAGTTCTCGTCACTATTGTACTTGGTGCCTCCAATGGGTATTTTGGGAGCTTACCATTGGTCATGGCTCCGAGTCAAGTTGCTCCACGTCACAGAGAACTATGTGGTAAGGACACATAATTGTTAATTGTTATGTTTCGTCAGGGCCGTAGTTAGAAGATATGACGCCCCCTGTGCATTCCTTTATTTTATGCCCTTTTCCTTCAGCTAGACATAAGCAACGTCATTGCCATATTATTGAATGTCAGCATTTTAATCTAATGGGAGTTTTATCGTGATAAAAGCACAGTGATACAAATATAGATATTAGATTATCATGAAAAGATAGGCTGGCAACAGACAGGGCACCCAGAGAGCAATGTTATACAGATACAACGGTAACAAAGCCAGAAGTCAACAACGCAGATGATGGACCTCAGAAATATAAAAAAAAATAAAAAAATGTACTATATATGGAGCGAACAGAAGGGTCCATTTTAGATATATTTTCCTGCCCTGGCGTCGCGAGGCATTCCATGAGTAGAGAAAAGAAGAAGAGAAGATACGAAACCAAAGGAAAAGTAGAACCAGTCAGTTTCACATTATCACAAACGAAAAATCGACGTTGTAGCTAGAGAGCTTTCATCAGCACATTCATCATCGTCATGTCGCAGGTCCTTTGCAGAACGTCGCTCTCATCAGTCTGCCTGAAAGAAACTCGGTCTCTCGCCAGCTCTTCCGCCTCATTTACTTTCATACTCATGGAGTCACCTATATCCTGTGCCCATCTTCGTGTCGGTCGGTCCCTGCCCCTTCTCCCTGGTACATTATCTGAATATAATACAACATCACAAAGACGAACAAGTAAAATCACTTAACTGACGTGTCTCTGAGAGAAACCACATATCCGCCTTGCCAGCTGAATCTTTCTTTTATTACTACTAGTTATGTTTGTTCAACCCTTAAAATATTACTGCAGATGTCCATCTTCCTACAGTCCATGCCGCGTGGTGTTGGTAGTCACTTCAATCTACAACCTTCTGTCTCGTATATTTTCAGACATTTCTGGCACAGATGATCCTCCATGCCATGATGTCAAACTGTACAGCATCTGTTCTCTCGGTTGTCCTGTGCCCCGCCCTCCCCCCCCCCTTTTTGGAACTTTTCCACTGTCATGATGTACCCCAATTGTCTCCTTCTCATGATATGTAATATATTACAAGTAATATATTTTTACATTTATTTATCATTCAACATCTTCACATTATTATTACTATTAGTATTGTGATCATTATTATCAAGCATTTAAACAATCAACTTGACACAGAGAGACAACATTGATCAGATTATATGAGTCCAGTCTTTCCTGTTTAAAACGATATGTTTTGGTTCTTTTTTCGATAATCCCTTTAGCTGATCACTCCAGCTCCCCGAGTGGGATCCCGGGCCCCATAGGGAGGGTGGGGGTGAATACCTGGGCTTCGTGGGGAGGATGGGGAGTGACTACTAGGGCCCCATGGGGATGGTGGGGGTGACTACCCGGGCCCCATGGGAATGATGGGGGTGACTACCCAGGCCCCATGGGGAGGGTGGGGAGTGACTACCTAGGCCCCATGGGGAGGGTGCGGGGTGACTACCCGTGCCCCATAGGGGGTGGGGGTAGGGGTTTGACTACCCGGATCCCATGGAGAGGGTGGGATGTGACTATCCGGGCCCATGGAGAGGGTTGGGGGTGAAAACAGGACTACTACCCCTAACAAGCATGTCGAAATAAAAATCAACTGAATAGGAATTTGCTGATATCGTATATGTTGAGTCAAAACACAGATATCGTCGCCTAGCTGTAAACTACAAAACGACGCGCCAATCACCCTTTTTAGGGTCAATGCAGATACATTTCCAAGCAAAACTTCTGGTCAAGAGAGACACTAGTAGAAGCCAAACTTTACGATCCACTAAGTGAATTACAAAAAGACAGTGAAGTTCATGCTAGAGACAGCATTCAGGTATAGATAATTTATTTCAAGCGAATGAAAGAAGAAGAGACTTCAGTAACCTCGTAAGTTCTGATCTAGATCTCGTAGAAAAACCATAGAACAACATTGCTTGACTGACAGACACTACAGACTGGCACTATCTGGCACAACCAGTCAGCTATCTACTAATGAGATGCTGATACATGTGCGACAACCGGAAATGAATACTCCGCTTTTACTGTCTTTCAGGAAACACCATGATGCTGTCATTCACCTTCGGCGTCATCTGTGGAGCCGTGACGTCATACGGTCTGGATCTTCTGATCGGTCCCCACCCAGACATGGAGTTCTGTGGCAACGTGCTGAACCGCACCAACACTGCGGGACTGGAGGTGACCGCCAGAACTGTCAATTAACTGTCACTATTTACACGAGTATAAATTAACTTTTACCATTTACATAATTACAAATTAACTGTCGTTATTTACAAGACTATAAATGAACTACTGCCACAGACAGAACAATAAATCAACGATAACTATAGTCAGGACGATAAATTGACTGTTAACATAAACAGGACGATAAATCGACTGTTAACATAAATAGGACGATAAATTGACTGTTAACATAAATAGGACGATAAATCGACTGTTAACATAAATAGGACGATAAATTGACTGTTAACATAAATATGACGATAAATTGACTGTTAACATAAATAGGACGATAAATTAACTGTCGCTACAAACAGGATGAAAAATAAGCTAACTGAGATACCTGGGTATCATTTTCGATAGAAGACTATCCTTCAGGGATTACGTGCAGCCAGTTGCGGTGAAATGCCAAAAAGGACTCAATGCGCTCAAGATTATGGCAGAAATGGACATGGAACGAAGAACGCCGTTCACAATGTTCCAGCATGTGATCCTATGGGTGATAGATTATGGACTAGGAATGCTTACCATATCAAAGAGTTAGCTGATGAAACTTGAACGTATATAGAATAAAGTCATGCGGGTAGTTCTGGGATGTACAAGAGATACCCCGATAATTTGTACGCGAAATATACTTGCACTGCCTACTATTGCAGATAGGCTCAAAGTTCTGCAAGCAAAGTCGTATCTCAGAGTAGCTGCGGCCAAGAGGCACCTCCTGCATGAAGCCCTAGATAGAGCTAAGGGTCACAGATTAAAAAGAGGAAAGTCTTGGATGGCGCAAGCTAAAGACTCAGACATGTGTGTAGGCTTGCTAAATTTAGGCGAGGTGAGGAGTGGGTCAAAGTGTCTGAGCAAGTTTCAGACTTGTGTAGGGTACTTATCACTTTAGATCGTGAGTGCAGGGACTGGTCAGTTGGTGCTGCAGAATCAGAATTTCAATACATGATTTATGACAATTCCCGCCCAGGTAATGTGATCATCTATTCAGATAGTTCTGTGTTGAGGAGAAGACGAAGTGCATAGGGGTTCATAGCCAAAGGGAATGGATGTCGCTAAGTATAACAGCGACAAAGCCTTGCATGTGATATCACAACGTCTAGTTTGAGAATGGAGGTGGAGGCGGTCACTGCTGCCTTCCGCTGGCTTGAGAATCAGCTGTACACACATGCCGTAATTGTAACTGCCTCACAGAGCATGTTGGGAAAGATGGAGACAGGCATGCTCCGTGCAGAGTGGCAAGCATCGCTTCAGAGGTCCTGGGTAGCTAGCGTCCTTTGGATATTTTCTCATAGTCATGCTGGTGTGTAGGGAAACGGGCAGACAGATTGATTGGCCGGTTCTGCACCACTTGGTGGTGAACTGATGTATGACAAGCTAGATGTTGTGAGGGCCTTTTGGGAGCGAGTGAACAGTGCCGAGGCACAGATAGATCATTACGATCTGAGGAGAATGGCGCTGCGGGGCGTTACCAGCGGATCTGGCGAATGTACAATTAGATAGTTACTGGTGCCATCGAAACTGGAACTCTTCGCTTGCTGCTGAAGATGGGGACAGAGCACCTATGGAAGTGTCCCGAATGCTATGATGTCGATTCTTAATTCAGCATTCCTCAGATAGGATAATAAGTTAACATTTCAAATACGGACAGAATGATACATTAATAATTACTACAAGCCGTGCGTTGAATAATTGACATCTTTATGGATGTGTGTGTTCATATTTCCTTGAAGTACATTTTACAGCAAAACTCGCCCTGTAATGTAATAGTCATGCTTGATATATCTTGTGAGTTGTGGTTCCAACAGGGCATATGCGTCTCAATAGAAGTACATTGTTACTTTTTCAGGCACTAGATTTCTTACTTCTTCTGCGTTCTTCTAAAGACATGACTTGTGCCCCCTTTACAAGATTGCTGCAATTTGTGCGTCCCTTGGACGCACGTATTTGTTGCCTTGGTTACTGCTTGAAGTATTTTTGATTATTGTTTTAATGAAAAGTCAACATCGTTGATGGAGTCAGAATAACTTTAAGATGCCTTGCTCGTGAGTCCTAGCCATTTAGTTTAGCCCCAATCCACGCCGCGTGAGCGGTAGCCATAGTGTCCGGAAAAGCGCACATTAAGTAGTCGGAAGCGCGCAATTGAAACGTGACTGGATATTTTGCGGCCGCCATCTTTGTCGACCGTTAGTCGGAAAATAGCCTAGTGATGATACACATCGAGGGGAACTTACTCTAGGCTTTTGTGGGGTCACGAATGGAATCCTCAATTTCATGACTGGAAAACAGAGGCGACAACTGGGGTGGGAAATGTAAAAGTAAAAAAAAAAAAAAGGACAGAGACATCGCTCACTGTGTTTGTGCATATGTGCACGAATGACATGTTTATTACACACATATGCTTGTTTGTGTCGAGGAATCTTGTGTGTGTGTGTTTGTGTGTCTGCGCGAGCGCACGTCTAAGTCTGTTTATAAAATATTCTCACATTTGTAATATGTGTTTTGGCTCTTTCAGTGCTTTGATTGCCTATTCACACAGAGTATGAGACAGAGAGAGAGAGAGAGAGAGAGAGGGAGAGAGAGAGAGAGAGAGAGAGAGAGAGAGAGAGAGAGAGAGAGAGAGAGAGAGAGAGAGAGAGAGTGTGTTAGATAAAGAAGAAAGACTGCATGTATGGTTATGGTCATATAAACAGAAACTTGTCAGTGGCTGCAACTCCACCAACAGACCGAGTGGTTCGGCAAAGACCAAGTGAAAACTGAAAACAACAAGTTGCTATCATCCCCTAGATGCCTCTAGCAGACATCGGAGAAACAGGGTGAGACATTAGCCGTAGGTAACAACTTGTACCAAACAAACAGCACAACCTGGCACATATTTCACTAGGATGCTCTACAATCAGGTATGGACAAAAAAGCAGCAGCAGTAGTAATAGAAGAAGCAGCAGTAGCACAGAAGAAGAAACAGAATAAGAAACAGTAGCAACAGAAGAAGAAACAGAATAAGAAACAGTAGCACAGAAGAAGAAACAGAATAAGAAACAGTAGCACAGAAGAAGAAACAGAATAAGAAACAGTAGCAACAGAAGAAGAAACAGTAGCAACAGAATAAGAAACAGTAGCAACAGAAGAAGAAACAGAAGAAGAAACAGAATAAGAAACAGTAGCACAGAAGAAGAAACAGAATAAGAAACAGTAGCAACAGAAGAAGAAACAGAATAAGAAACAGTAGCACAGAAGAAGAAACAGAATAAGAAACAGTAGCAACAGAAGAAGAAACAGAATAAGAAACAGTAGCACAGAAGAAGAAACAGAATAAGAAACAGTAGCACAGAAGAAGAAACAGAATAAGAAACAGTAGCAACAGAAGAAGAAGAAAAAGAAGACAAATTATTAAAATTCAGCAAATCCTCTTCTTCATGTTCACCAACTGTAAACTCCGGCAGAAAGTTCTGGCTGTCAGTCCACTTCTAGACTTTACTCACGATCCAGAACTTGAGTTTTTGCGTGCACATCCGTTTTACAGATCTGGCTTTTTGTATGCAGTCTGTTAGCTCCTTGCCTCTCAGGCAGACGCTCTCTGACTTAGAAAAAAACCCTTAATTAGTTGGCTTGTAGGGATACATTTGTCAAGGAGGCAGTGGGTTTTAACCCCCCCCCCCCCCCCCCCCTTTTCCCTTCACAATGGAACTCTCACAGAGTCTCTGAGAAAATCAACACAGAATGAGCCATCTGAAAAATCCATTTATTCCTTTACACTGATTCAAATTATACACAAGCATGTACATTCACCGACCACTTACATTTGCATGAACATTCACTTCACAGTCACTAATTTATACACTTCACACTACACTGACTCCAACATACACAAGTACATTACAATTCACCTCACAATGACTCAACACACATATTCACATGACAGTTTCCTTCACACACACTCAGCATATAAATTCACAGGACAACTGACTTCACACACTCCTCATTTACACATTAACTAAATTTCACCGTAAACTAGCTCAACATTCACACATGATTAGACACAAATTTACTTAATACTAATCCAAAAATGTACACATTGAAATGATATATTCACAATAATGAACACATATCATACACTAATTTTGTAGGTCAAATTCCCCTGGTATTAATTCAAAAGATTTTTATGTTACAATGATACATTCACATGCATCATTCATCTCCTTGACGAATGGCCTTCTACTGTTACAGTGGCAACACAATGGAAACTGCGACTGTAACAAGGGCATTAACACGTCTGGGTACTCAAAAGTTTGTATGCCCCGCGACTCAATGAGTACAATTCTTGCTGGTCTCTTCAGACAAGAATAGATTGTACCACTAAGCACTTTGCAAACGGCTGGCCTAACCTTCATACTTGTGTCAGGTCATGCAAACGGCTGGCCTAACCTTCATACTTGTGTCAGGTCATGCAAACTGCTGGCCTAACCTTCATACTTGTGTCAGGTCATGCAAACGGCTGGCCTAACCTTCATACTTGTGTCAGGTCATGCAAATGGCTGGCCTAACCTTCATACTTGTGTCAGGTCATGCAAACTGCTGGCCTAACCTTCATACTTGTGTCAGGTCATGCAAACGGCTGGCCTAACCTTCATATTTGTGTCAGGTCATGCAAACGGCTGGCCTAACCTTCATGTTTGTGTCAGGTCATGCAGGTGTTCGAGGCAGCGAGCGTGCAGATTATTGTGCAGACACTGCAGTTGTTATGGTTGGTCCGGTACTGGACAGAAGTGATGTTATCAATGCCATGTGCAGCACTAACAGCGATGACGAAATACACCAAAAGACAAGACTCAGTATTCCTGTGCAGGCTGATGGACATGGCGGTGCAAGCTGGAGCTGCAAAAACATTTCACAAAAGCACAGGATGTTTGATTATTCAACACAGAACTAACATCATCAGTCTCAACGCTTGTGGAGTTACCATGGAAGAGATAAGTGTACCA